TTTATCTTTTGTAATTGGTGGTCCTCTTATCATAACAATTTCTGGTTTCAATTTAGTTATTTCCTTTTAACCAGTATGATGATGAAAGCTGCATCACAGTTGAAATACAGTGCCTGTAGCTGTTGGTTAGCTCTTAGGCACAGATATGCTTCTTTGATTTCCTCTTTTTTCTTTCCTGTTTGTGCCTCTTTTCATTTATAGCTTAGTCTCAGTGTAGTTTTCTCCTTTCACTGTATGCCTTTATGCAATTTGTCCTGTTCTTAAGCTGGTGTTGTCACCTTGTCCGTGGTGACAAGGATGTTCTGAAGTCCTTGCCAGTTGTTGAGTCAGCTGCAGGGAAGCACAGCCAGGGTGGGAGCTCGTGTCCTGAGTGGAGTGGGCAGGGAGAGGAGGCAGCACCTGCGGGCTGCTGGAGGCTGCTGGTGCTGGCAGAAGCCACCTAAGTGTGGGTTGGTAGCTTTCATTTGTTTGTTGGCCTTCTAAACAAACAGATTTATTAAATGATCTCCAACCTGCTCTCCTTTGTCGATGCCAATTACTGATGCAGTTTTACAGTTAAAAGAGCAATCCATGATTGCTCAGAAAAAGGTTTTTTAGCTTATCCATGTGAAGAATGATGCCAGTTCCATTTGTCAAATTCATTATCATTCTTACCATGTCCTGGCTTGTTCAGATGTGGGAAGTCTCTCATGACTGCAGGTTTCCTTGGTTTGGAGGAAAAAAGTTCTTTTGTTTAAACAAAGAAAAAAGCAGTGATGATTTATTTTAGCTCTTCATGCACAGAGAGGAGCCAGATACAAACAGGATGTTTGTTAGAGACATCTCCTGATGACCTTGGAGATGCACAGAATTCCAGAAACTACAGGACAGCATCTGGAGAAATACTTGAGTGGTTGCCTTTTTTTTTTTTTTTTTTTTTTTTTTCCACTTATTTGGTTAGTTATTACTCTGGTATGGCTCAGTTAAATGTGATTTGTCTGGCCGTCACCAAATCATGGCAGAAGCTCAGAGAAGATGAAGGGAAATGCTTAATTTGCTTGCCCTTCAAGAAGATATGCTGCAGCCCTTCAGGACTTTTTCTGTTCAAATCAGTAAGAAAATGGTATTTTTATCTTTGAAGGTATGTTTGCAGTAACTAAGCAGTTATGAGTTAACTGCATATATTTTTTTATATCTTAAGAAAAGTTTTTTTTCAGCGGTGTGGAGAGAATGCTTAGTCATGCATTTTATATGGACATAGACAATGAGCTCAAACTATCTTTGTGATGATATTCAACAACACAAAGCTATGATATATTGTTTCTTCAAAAGTGAAAAAGAAAAGTTATGGAAGAAAATTCTGTCATATTTGAACAAATACTATCATGGGACACAGGAATCCTTTTCTTAAAGTTCTGTCTTATGCATGAATTTTGACAGTGTTCTAACTGAGGGACACTGGTACGTTTATTCCCAGCACTAATTATTTCATTCATCCACAGGTGGGGCAGAAATGATGTAGACTTTTACAGTCTACATCTAGTCAAAGTGATGTTTCATTTTAGTATTGTCAGTTAAGCTGCAGAGAGGGCACCAGTGTGAACCTATTCCCCTGGGACCCAGCAGAGCCCATGAGTACATTTAACACTCACTGCTGAAGAAGTGATTTCAAGAGGCTTCTGGGGCTCACTGGTGATGCAAGACTTTGGAGCAAATGTGAGTGGATCCTTATCTTGGAAGCCTATGTGAACTGGGTTTATTTTATTGTTAAGGTTTGAAAGAATGCTGTGCCTGTCTTCCTTGTTCAGTTTCTATTGCTTGTGAAAAAATCAGAGAGAAGGCTTCTTGGAGAAGAAGGCAAAAAGTGGAAAATGCAATTATTTTTCCTTGTGCCAAAGAACATAGGTGGAATAGGAGATACTCAGTTGGAATATATTAGTTATAATCTGAGTTTGCTTCTTAGCCTTCTTCAAGATTTCAAATAGTTAATTAATCAGGAAGAAAAGAGATTAAACTGTCATCATTCAGGATTTCACCATTTAGCCTCAGGACCACGTAACCTGCACTTATGGTGTGTCACTAACTGTATGAGCAACTCTGAGAGACAACAAGATCCAGAATAAACCTCGTGTCACCCACCATGGCCTTTAACTGGGTTCAAGATGGAATTTTGCCTGGAGTTAAAAAGAGACTTGGTCTCCAAGTTCAGACCACACTGTTTATTAAAACCTGTTACGTTGGGAGCTGACCAGCTTTGCAGAAAGGAGCCTGGGGGTCCTGGTGGACATGAAGTTGAATGTGAGCTTGCAATGTGCCCTTGCTGCAAAGGTGGGTGCTGGTATCCTGGGGTGCACTGGGAGGAGTGAGGAGTGTTGCCAGCAGGTGAAGGGGAGGTGGTCCCTCCCTTCCACTCAGCACTGATGAGGCCACACCTGCCATACAGGTAGTTCTGGGTTCCTCAGTGCAAGAGACATGAAGAAGAGCCACTAAAGTGATTGAGGGACTGGAGCATCTCTCCTGTGAGGAATGACAGAGAACTGGGACTGTTCAGCCTGGAGAAGAGAAGGTGCAGTGGAGAATCTTACCAATGTCTGAAGGGAGGGTGTACAGGACACAAAGTCAGGCTCTTCTCACTGGTGCCATGTGACAGGACCAGAGGCAGTGGCATAAACTGAGACAGGGAACTGAAAACCTCTGAACATCAGGAAACACATTTTTACTGTGAGAGTGACCTAGCAGAAAGAGAAGTTTCTCATTAAGGTAGTGGAGTCACCATCTGTGGAGAAGCCATCTGGACAACCTGCCCATCCTGTGCCCTGTGATTTAGGTGGCCCTGCTTGAGCAGATGGGTTGGACCAGATGACCTGCAGAGGAGCCTTCCAATCTTCACCATCCTGTGACTTGTGAACTTTTTTACAGGCTTCTTTGTTTCTGCATTTTTTGAAGCTTTTTGTATTGCTTGTGTCACATTGCAATTGATTTATTGTTAGTTTTGTCATATGTGATCACCTATTATATTCTAATTGTTTCTGTAAGGAGAAGTGCTTTGCTTCATCCGTGATTCCATACGGTACATTGCAAATAATTTAGCTCCAAGTACTATAAAGACTGTAAGAGGTACTGTTTCAAACCACTTATTTATAAAAGCTTAGAAGAATTATAACTATGAAGATTGCCTAGAAACATCTGTAATAAAATGTTTACCTTTAGAAACTCATTCCTATCCACTGCTCATCTGCCAAAGACACCCCTGGAAAAGTCCTTCTGTTTCTTTCCCTCCCAAATCCCAACACTTGGTATTCCAGAGCAAGCAACACAGAGCTTATTGCTGAGGCTTGAATTGTTTTCCTCTGACAGGAATCTGTGGTTTTACTTCTTATCGACTGTTTCCATGAGGAATTACATGAAAGGGGGCTCTTGTGCTGTTTGTTTTTATTAACATGCATAATATGTGTATTTAAGCTTCTCTTCTGCCTGCCCTTCCATGAGGTTAGTTTCAAAAACAAGAGGCTTTGAGGGAATAACCTACACATGGAAATCACCTGTATTTATGAACCTTTTAAAAGAGCCACATGCTTCCAACAGAAATAAAGTAACTTTTGCCTGGAATTATCCCTTCGGAGCAATATGCAGTCATTTTGAGGCTCCAGATTGATTTATCTGGAAAGAGGAAATATTTTCTGTCAAAAGCATCAGAGCAAAAATAAGCTTTGTCAAATAAAGGGAATTGTGCACCATGCCTTGAGTATTCCCTTTGTAAAGGACACTGGGAAGGCTGGAGAGGGACAGCATTTGATAAAAGTGAAGAACTTTCTGTTTAGTAGTGGGTCTAGGCAGTAGGGTGGGAAGGGAGATACTTTTTTTAACCTGCGAAAAAACCCCTTCCTCCATAAATCTAGGGGAAGGGGGAGTATCCCATCACACTTACTACTGCTGTGTGCATTTTTTTACCTTGGTTTTCACATTTACTTCTTCCTTAGATATGTTTCTAATTTTATATGGAGTTGTGTGGAGCAAATGCAGGCTAGTTGAAACCTCTCAATTCTTGATCTGAAGTGTGGCCTTTAAGTGCTTCTTATGGTGAATTGCTCTGCTTATAGACTTGTTCCTGAAATGTTTCCAGTTCTGGAATTGGCATTAACATTAAGAAATATCCTGTGGAAAAAAAAGCTGGGGAACCAGAGTCTAGCCAGAATTACTCCTTTCATTGTACCAGCTGTCAACAGGACTCCTGGTTGTAATTTTGGCTTTAACACTTTGGAGTCTAATGATTGATTTCTAGGAAAGGTCTGTGAGCTGATGAAAATAGGGCTGTATTCTTAATTTTAAAAGGCTGTATTGTACTTGTAAGTTCTTTGCTTATGGGTAAAGTTGGTGTCAACATCAAAAAAGCACAGTTGAATGACCTCTACTTTTGAAAGAATAGCATACCTTTATTTCATTTTTCTGCCTAAGACTGGCACATGACCATGTATTTTACTATTTTACACCTTTCTTTTTGTCAGTTTCCCCTTTAAGAGCTGAACTGCGTTATATTAGCTTGCATTTTTGGAATTGCTGTAATTTCATAATAGCAGGATGATGTTCATCTTGCAAACTGGTTCATGAAGCTCTGTCCTGAGCACCAAACTTGTTCAGTAGAATAGTTCAAAAGATTGTGCTCATTATGCTAGAAAATGATACCCTTAGGCTCCTGCTTGATCAAGGTGGGGGATGCTTTAAAACTGAGCTCTAATTTAGAGTGCAGTAAAACAGATTTATTATTAATTTAAGTTTTTAAGAGAAGGGAGTAAATTGCGTTCACTCTTGCTGCACAGTTTTGGAAAAGAAAAATATGTATTAATAAACAATATGTCTGTAATTAATTAATGGTCCCCTAGAGAGGGTTTTCTCCCAAAGTAGTTAATTAGTGTGTAAAATACTAAAAAATTAATCCCAAAACTCATAATGAAAAATCAGCTATGGGTTAGCGAATTGTGGTCATTAAAGCAGATTTTTTTTTTTTCTGTTTGCTTGATTTTGGGTTTTTTTTTTTGTCTTAATGGCCAAAGTTAACAACCGAGACAAATGGAGAGCAAAGCACCAATGCTGAGGTACATTTTGACATTTCTAATTAATGTCCTGTGCCACTAAAAACATAAAGCTCTCTCTAGAATTAATGTGAGCAATAAACCTACTGTTTACTCTGGATTTGAAAATGAGTATTGATTATTGTTTTGTTTTTTATTACTTGGGAAGATATGGGCAGGGCCTAAATATTAGAGTCCTCAAATTATCATTCCCTGTGTTTTCTGTTATGCCTCTTTAATCTTCTTCTGTGTCTGTTATTTTTCTCCCTTTCCAGGTAGACTGATAAATCTCTTGAATTTCATCACAAAAACACATTTCAAAAACCTACTGTTCTGGTAACCTAGATGGGGTCAGCATTTTAATTATCTTTTAATAAGAATGGTTTAATAAGCAGTTTTAATAACCATGCCTTTCTCAGTTGGATTCATACTAGTAGATTTTAGTATTTGGTGTCTAAATTCTTAGTAAAGCTTTTGCAAAGCATGAAGTGCTCTGTGCTTTGTGTACTGGAGCCTCACTGGCTTGCAGGGAAATACACGAACTTGTCAAAAATGTGCGTACTTGTAGAATCAAAGCCTTAATTTGTAAAATGATACTTAATAAGAAAAATGGGCACAAGGTAGTAATTTTTCTTGTTGAAAACAATGGTTATTGCTCAGGTAAATGTTAGCAGCCTTGACTGATTGCTGACAAGAAGTACAGAAGTGATTAACATGACAGTGTGCAAATCATGTCATAAATTTTTTTGTCCCTTGCAGCCACAGCGGGTATATAAACTGGTCTTTCAGGTTTAGTGTAGTTCTTTTGGAAGAAAAAAAAACGTGTTACAAAAAACTTAGGAGAGAAAATTAAAATTCTTCCATACTTGAGTCTTCTTTATGAAGTCTCTATTCAATGCTGCTTCAGTCTGATACCTATTTCTTTTCTGTTATTAAAGTGAAGCTTTGATGCATGCATAGGTATCTCCCCCCATCATTTTTCTCCCCCACTACTAAGTCCTATTATGTTATGCTTTAATGTGAACAGATGAGCTCTTCTTTAGGCTTCTTCTAAGAAAATGAGTTTTGTAACTTATGCTGCATTTATCTTTGACTATATATAACTTTAAAAAATTGGCTGGTTTTAAGGAAGTGTGTGTTCAAGAAGTAGCAAAGGATATTAGAAATATTCATAGTGACTTTCAATCTTTTAAGGTAATAAACACAGATCTGCTTTCAAGTTTAAGGGGAAATTTGGTATTTATTCTAAGACTATACAAAGCAGTTGCATCCAAACATGAATGCAAGCGCAAAATAAATTAATTTCTGTCTCTAACACAATATAGTCAAACTGCAGATATTCATGTTAGGCAGGATGGGTCTTTACTTGCTCGCTGAATCCCGTCTTTATTTGTTATACCTATTGTGTATAAACTTTACTGTCTTTACTTGATATAAATGATGTCCCTCATGCTAACTGGAGGGATTTGGGAGAGGAAGCAGCTATGTTGCTAGCGTGTCCTCAGCTTTTCTAGGTGATAGACATGCTGCCCTGCTCCTTCTCTGATTTTGATTTGACACTTTGAAGGACGTGGGGAGGTGATAGCAGAGGGAGCCAGGGATGTTTCTTCCTTTGCATGCCTTTACATAAGGTGTCACTGTTTTCTTTGTGCTTTCTTTGGTAATCTGTCAAGGTGCCCTCTGGAGTCCTTCTTGGAAAGGCTTTGCTGGAACTGGACAACACAAGTAGGGCAATTGTGGGACAGCTGTGTTGTAAGGAAAAAGCAAATAGAGTAGGATTGTTAAGCCTGGAAAAGACCACCAAGGAGAATTATGACAGATATGCAAAACTATGTGTGATGTGGACAAGTTGAGCAAAAAAAAGAATTATGCATGCAGAGGGAAGTTTCTGTGGAGAGCTCCACTGAGCTGACCTCATTGCCTCGTGTTGCTGTCTCTGCCTTCCTGCAGTAAAGGTGCTTCAGGACTGGTAAAAGCCTTGGCAGGGCTTGGGCTGGGGGTGAGTTTTTCCCCAAGATGTGGGACAGTGAAGCATATCTGAGGACAGCAGAGCACATGTTGGAGGAGGGGACAAATGGAAAACATCTGGAGGTGACTCTCACTGGAAGGGTATGTGCACTCCCCCAACAGAAACCACAGAGCTTATCTATTGAGAGGCAGAGAAAGCGTACTGGCTGAGTGGTTTCATCCAATATTGGCATTTTTATGTTTGGAGCTAAGGGCACATAAAAACAACAGTGACAGGGCAATGTTTCTTAGGGGTAATTTTGTTAAACAATGCTACTTTTCCTGGCAGAATTCCAGGTGTAGTCTTGGCTTTGTATTGGTTCATCTTTTACAGTTTCTGATTTATTTTACTCAAATGCCTGGCATAAATAATAGAAGAAAATAATTATTTTTGCAGAAATGAGTTGTCTCTTAGAAGAGAGCTTGGAGCTGCTGACAAATCCATTGTAGAATAGTCTGGAGAGAGTAAAGAGAAAAACAGTGAAGGAAAACTGGACTATAGTGAAAGATCTGGGTGTTTTCTAGGGAGGGGAAGATGTCTTATTACTTACACAGTATTCAAAACTTGATTTCATATTCAGGCAACACATGCTCTAGAGATTTTACAAACTTCACAAAAATGTTAATGAAAAGCAAGTGTTTTATTATAAAGTTTACCTCTTTCTGCCTTCTCGAATTCTTAAATATTTTAGAATGACTTGCAACTAAACTGTTTGCTATTTAGTTTCTATTTGCATTCATAGTCAGAATAGTTTCACCTTACGACTTGGATTTCCTGTGCAGTATTTCCAAATGGGACCACAGGGACTTGTTGCTTTAATTTGTTTGTATTCTGTTTCCTGCAAGTTTGGATATCTCTGTGGGCATTTTTCTTGTGTATATGTGCATGTGTTCTTCCGTTTAACAGCAGGGAAAAGTTGTGAGTAAAGGCTCTTTGACTGTAGGAGTATAGTATGCCTTACTTTTTGAGCTGGGAAATAAACATTTTATCTATTCTTCAAAGTACTGAGATTTCAGATCCCTCTTTTGTCTCTAACAGGATGAAAGGCCATCTCTCTTCTTCTTAAAGAAGATCCAACCCATTCTAGACAAGCTGATAGTGTTTCAGCATATGTATCACACAGCCCAGCTGCGTTTTGTGATCATCAGATAATATTCTCTTTTACAGAGATGAGTCAACAGCTAGGTCCAATTTTGGTTCTGAAAAATCATTTCTTAATGGCATCTTTCCAGAAGCCATCATGCTTCTGCAAAAAAAGTGGAAAGTTTTTAACCAGCATAATTTTTTGTATTTCTGTATTTCTTGGCTAAATACATGATAATGCTTTATATTTAATAAAGATTACGTATAACTTTTGACATTTTTTCAAAAGTTGTGCTTATCATCATCTGTATTTCAAAATCTTTTGTGTACAAGAGTTCAGTTATCTTGCTTGTAGCTCTCATAGTAATATACAGGCTATTGTATGTGCCAGCTTCGTTTTTCTGCTTTGTATGTCTATTTTTGTGGAAACAGTTTCATTTCCTCTTTTTATGTTGGTGCTTGTGCTTCAGAGTACTGCTTGTGTCAAATTAGTTTTTTTTTTCTTTCAAATGGGAACACTGGTTTTTATTTTCACTCTGTAGAGTTTTTGCAGTGGTGATGCAGTTTGCACTTCTGTTATCTAGGGTCTGACAGCCCTGTCAATAAACTTCAACATTTCCACGAGTTCATAAGTATGCAATAGAAAAGTGTATATAAAACACTGTATAGTAAAGTGGAATACAAAAAGTTCAGCTGAAAGAAAATACTTAAGTTGAAAGAAACCTCAGTAGGTTGTTTTGTCTAATCTCTCATTTGAATATTTTAGAAAATAATCTCATAGAAAATACCTAGAAAACAAGGGAGGCTGGAGGGGTTGTAGTTCTGCTCTGAATTTAAAGAAATACAGAAGCCCAAAATACTAGCCAATATTCTCTCCCTAATAAGGACATTTTTTGCCTTCCAAAAATAAAGGTAAAATTAAAAAAAGAATTGGACGTACATGTGTTCTGTTGGCATGCAGCCTCTTTCCATAGAAAACTTACAACTTACAGTTGTAGCCCATATTTGCATTTCCATTTCCATAACACTGGAACAGAAACTGTAGTTACAGTATTATTGGGAAGAAATGGTCTGTTTTGTCCCTGGTTGTTTAATTACTAAAATCTATTTAAAGTACCTGCAGCATTTCCTAAAGGTGTTCTGCACAACAGCTTCCATTCACAGAGATATTCCTTGGTAATCCAGGCTTCTAAACCCTACAAGATGGGGATTCTGAAACTACTTTACAATACAGAATATCTTTTTTTCCTCAAGTATGCCCTCATGATCTTGCAGTTGTATGAAATACCTCTGCTATTTCATTTCAGCAAGCGATGAGTGTTTAAGTCTGTAACATATATTTTAAGTGGCACGATAACTTCATGTTTCACAAGTATTTACATTAGAGCTTTTTAGTCAAGACCTTGTGTGGTGGGTTTAACCCAGACAGCAATGAAACACCTGCCAACCCCTGCCTCCCACCCTCCCTCTCCTGCTTCTTGCAGTGGGGTAAGAATTGGAAGAGTAAAAGCAAGAAAACCTTGTGAGTTGAGATAAAGACTATTTAATAAGTAAAGGGAAGGAAACCTAAAAGTGATGTAAAGGCAGCCACTTAGCACCTCTCACAGGCAGAATGATCCCAGCCAGTCTCTGAGCAGCAGCTACCTTGGAAAGTTCAAACCCCCGGTTTTTGTGGCTGACCATCATGTTAAGTGTAACAGAATATCCCTTTGGTCACTGGGGCCGGCTGTCCTAGCTGTGTCCTTGCCCACCCTCAGCCTGTGTCATGGGGTCTGTGCAAGCACCAGCAGCAGCAGAGACATTGCTGTGTTACCTCTACTGCTTTGGTCATAAATACAAACAGCACCAGATGGGCTGCTATGAAGAAAATTAACTCCAGGCAGCCAGGGGCAGCATGCAGTACCTTGTTGTTTAGTTTAGGTTGCTACAAACAGCAGTACTTAAATGCTTTGGAAGGGCATTAACCTTGACTTTGCAGTACTCTGGAGGCTGGAGCTCCTGCTCTGATGGCTCTAAGGGCACCATGTTTCCCAGAACAGCTGGGTTTTATAGAATAAATGTTTTCTACGGTTACTGTTAAGTGAATAATGATAGCAAATGGCATTTAACTGTCTGGTGGCACCTGAAAACTTCTGATAATAACTACTGTTTCTTAATACATTTTATATTAAACTTAAAAGGAAAGGTACTGATGTCATGACAGATGTGTGTACGAATTTTTACATCCTGATCACACCTCTAGATTGTGTTTCATGATGTGACTTGGACGTTTGTTGGATCTGATCTTTGTTTATCTGGTTTTGTTAGCATGAGTGGTATGTGGTATTTTACTGTACATCTTATGTGGGATTTTCTTGCTGGGACAGGGCAGTCTGGAGGAAAGATCTCAGGACACTGAAAGCATCAGGAACAGCATCCTAGTTTCCTTTCATTTCAATGTGTCTAGCAAAGATACATTGTCCAGGACTTCTATAGTTGTTTACAGATGAAAAAAGAAACAGTTGATCCATTCATGCCTTCTGGCATGAAGGCATCTCATGTCTTACTCTCATATCTGCCTGTTTTCCCATCTGATTCTAGTGTGCTGAATGACTTGCATTCAACACAGACTGGCTAAAGAACATGCAGAAAGGCATTGATATGGAGAATGCCATAAAGGGGAAATGAGAGTGTATTGTTTAGAAACATCTGTCAGAGATGGAAAGGAAAGGAAGGAAAAGACAGACAAAGAAAGAAAGAAAGAAAAAGACAATTGGAAGTGGGTACACTCCATCTTTTATCAGTGGTAATGCTGGAGAGAGAATGGGGAAGGCCACAGATGGCTTCAAATACCTTCAGTTGAAGAATCAGGATCTGGGATCTACAAGTTGGGTTGGAGGGGTCAGCTTGATGATCATACTGGCAAACAGAAACTTGGAGAGTCATTTGGAAGGATGGACTGCCTCCTCTTCAGACAATGAACTGAAATACAAGAAGATGAAGTAATTAAAACAGAACCTAGATCTGATGTAGTCTACTGAAATATCATCTGTTTTTTGCAGATAAGGCTTTCAGATGAAGTGAATCAGAATTTTTCCATCCTCAAGGTAAAAAGTGGGCAAAGCAGAGGAAGTTAGGAAAGGTTCTGTAAGTGTACATGGAAAAAATTACGTTGAAAGTGATTAAGTACTTCAAAAATGTAATTTTATCTAGGAATTGGGGTTTTTAACATGAAGCTCTGAATGTGGCATAACAATATCAGCACTCCATCTACTACGGTGATTTACTTCTTCAATTATTTTAATGTGAGCTGTCTCATTTGCAGTTGACAAGAGAAAATTTCTTTTCAGTGCACTAGGAAGAAGAGCAGGAATTTCTGTGTCTTTGTAAGGCAACTCATTTCACATGTATTTCAACATTTACTATTCAAATAATATTGAAGTAAAAAATAGCTCCCATTAATTAATGAGAAAGAAATGTTGACTGTATTTGAAGAACCTCTGCCCAGAAGGGAGTTTAAACAAATTTCAAAACATGCATAATTAATCAGAAACCTGTGTTTTAAAGTTAGCCATTGCAGCAGGGTTGTTTCTGCAGGTTTGTTGGCATCTTTTTTTCAGTAGTGTATAGATAGTACAGGTGTGAGAAGGTATCTGGATGAATTAATGTTGGGTGCATAAGGATTCTGAGGGAACAAAAGATGTCTTGCCCCTCAGAAATGAAATCTGAACCCATGTGGAATTTTCTAATAGGGCAGGAAAATCTGATCCCTTTCAAGATCAAAACAAAAATTGAGAGGGGCACATGTGTTGGTGGCTTCCAGGCAGTTTCAGTGTCCAGTACTAGAGAAAAAGGTCTTCATAGTCAAATACTTCAAAAAATTCATTAGTTTTTGATGTGTGATGTGAGGAAGTAGTTTAATAACTTATTTTGAGTAAATTAGTATATGAACGTAACTATAAATTCAATCAGCAGTTTGATCATCTATGCTGTCTGTGTTTTCTTACGAGGTAATTTTGTCAATATAATTTGAAATTGC